ATGTGTTAGGTCTGCATCAATATAAGTGGGTGGTGCATGAAAAAAGTAACAACCATATGAACGCCAGCAGCATGTTACATTGAAACAAGATGATTCACTTCACCTGTTAGTGCTTTAAATGTTGCAGAGATCTGGGAAATGATCTGGCAGGCTGATCTGCAGCAAGTCCTCCAAAGCAAATAGCAAAATATGTTGTTTGCCCATGCTGTCTAGAGCGGCACATTAAACCTAATTAGGCTTTTTTTGTCTTAGTCTGACACCCCTAATAATGGGACACAATTTCCCTGTGCCTTCCAAAACTGTTCTAAATCTATTTTTTTGACACTACAGTAAGGTTTGTGCAGAATGAGCTTGCTAAGCTGTTGCTCAGGTGAAAATCCTCCATCCACTTAACCCTCCTCCCAGTATGGCTATTGTTGCTGGATAAACAAATGCCCCTCTGCTTCCATTATAACAACTACTGCTGTAAGACTATTTTGTGACAACAAGATTTTTCTATTACATAAAAATTTCTAATAAAGCTTAAAAAAGCTTGCAAACTTGCCCCGAATAATGTTGCTCTCACTGAAATCCACATGAACCATGCCACACACCACAGCACCTACACTGTCCATCTGCAGCCGAGCACATCTGAGCTCACTCTGTGCCACACTGCACACGTAGAAAACAGCGGTGTTAGCCAGGAGGCTGCGTCAGCTCTCTCACCACATGCAATTTGTTGTTGAGTCTGATGGGAAGCTACACGGGGTTGCGAACTTGTCTGAACAGTTCCCAGGAATCTCCCCTTACATAAGTGAAAATGGGGTGGGGGGTATGTGGGTTATGTGTGGGTCAGAGGTGTGTTGATGCTAAAGGGGTTAAATCCATTCGTTTGGTCTTCTTTCTGTAAGAGTATCTATGACGTCCTAAGATTTTACAGATAGGACAACTAAACATTATGATCGCCATCAAAAGGCTTCAAGGTGTTGCACTTAATCGCACAGTAATGAGGCCAAATGATTATAAAGACAAACATAATTTTGTACAACATATCTCACAGACTGCATCTCCTGCTTCAGACCACTGAATAGTGCTCACACAAAGCAGAGCCATTTTTATCCGCCCTGAGGGAGTCCTTTGTGTGAATGTAATGTTTTCCTTTGAGTTAAAAAGGGAAAAACCATGAGATAGTGTGTACATAAATCTCTATAATTCAAACAAAATGTTCTATTTAAAAAAAAAAACTGAGGCCACATGTTGGGATGACTTTGGGGATTTGCATAATTGCTGATAACAATGGGAGTAATTTCTTTGGGTAAATAAAATGTCTTTTGTGGGATTTTATTTCTGGTATGGTTCCAGTTACACACAAATGAAAACGTGAACTCGGGCATTTTACTCCCACTCGCTGTTTTTTTTTTTAAAATCGCTGAGAGGAGAGGAGAAAAAAATACAAGAGCGTCAAAGGGGGGCAGTGCTGGTGACTAACCTCGTTTTGAGCTTTCTACCATGTACTTCATGGGTTCACGCCTGGCTCATAGCCCTTTTTCCCGTGTCATACCCGCTCTGTTATCTTTCCTGACACTCTCCATGGTTCCCCATCTTAAAAAGCCCGAATGTCAGACTAATCTGGAAGATGAAGTGCAACCAAGAGGAGAGGTTTTTGTTTATTGGCATTGTTGAGAAACAGCTGCCAACAGCTATGAAACAGTGAGTCAGCGCCGAACCCTTCTATTTCTTTGACCTCATTCTTTCTCCACCTGTATTTCTTTCTATGCTTTTCTTCTCTTTTAGCATTACACGTATTGCCACCAGTGTTGGTCAAGTTACTTGAAAAAAGTAATCAGTAACTAATTACGGATTACTTCTCCAAAAAGTAATCCCATTACTTTACTGATTACTTATTTTCAAAAGTAATTAATTACTTAGTTACTTAGTTACTTTTTAATAACACGATTTACAACCTGAAGAGGTGATAAAGCGATAGATCTTTCAGCCCAATTCTACTTTTTCTGCATAATCCATCATACAAAATGTAATCAAATGGAAAAGTCTCTTTTTAAAACTTGTTTTATCAGTTGTAATCGTTTAACTTTATGCATCAAGCAAACATTTTATTATATGCAACATTCTCTGACTTGAATAAATTAGTTTAACATTTAAACATATTTTCTGCACATTCCAGCACATAAAATAAAATATTTTTTGTGTTTACACTCACTCTTTCAAATAGATGCAAGTAAAATACAGCAGAAAATAAATAAAGTCAAAGACTCAGCGGTCCTGTTGCTCTATTTTCACCTGTAAAGCAGGACTGGGGGTAGGCGGAGGTTTACCCTGGTGCAGGTGTGCCGCGGTCAGTTGAAGGATCTGCGAGTTTCTCTGTGAGTTTCCCATTACGTCGTTGCGCACTCAGTGCTTGCTTGGAAATTTAGGGGTTTTTTTCGCTGTAAAAAGAAGTTTTCTTCCCACGCACGATGGACGCTAATGTTTTTGTCACTTTTTATGGAATCAAACTCAAAGTAAGGTCAGTACTTCCACGCTTTAAACGCTGCACGCTCATACTCTCTCCCACAATCGATATGTGATCCATTGTTGATCTGCACACAGCTGTTGTCACTAACGGCGCACTCGCTTACGTCACTGTCATGAGACATTCTCGCAAAAAAAATCACGGTTTTAGTAACGCAGTAATGCAGCGTTCCTACGGGAAAGTAACGGTAATCTAATTACCGATTTTGCAATAGTAATCCCTTACTTTACTCGTTACTTGAAAAAAGTAATCAGATTACAGTAACACGTTACAAGTAACGCGTTACTGCCCATCTCTGATTGCCACATAGGGAAGCACACTACGTACAGCTGAACGCTGCAGGCAGAAGGACTGCACAAAAAGCTACAGCAAGCTATTCTACACGAGTTTTGAACAAGGGCCACCACACAGCTGAGAAGACAGAAGTCATAATAGGCAAAGAACTTCTTAGGGGTGGAGTGAAAATGATTAAAGCCATCCACTGCAGCCATTGTCAGGCTTCCTACTCTACGGTATGCCCCATTATGGTTCCCTTTCTTGTTCAAGACAACTTCCAAGCAGCATTTTGCCCAAAGCGTTACCACCAATCAGCAATACACTCACTTTTTTGGAGGAGTTTATGTAAGTGTCTTTATAGCCTTCAAAGTTTTCATATGCCATAATCCTTCTCTGTAGACAAAGGGCTGCGTAGATGCACACAAACAGCAGTTGATGAATCCTTAAGTTAGCAGCAGAGCTAACTTTAGCTAACCAGAAGTACCTTTCCTCCCAGACATTTACAGACATTTGGGGTCAATCTGTCTCTGCTAGATTGTAGTTTCAGATACATTAACACTTTTTGGAAGGCTTTAGTAGCATTTACAGTAGAGTATAGTAGTAGAGAGTAGGGTTGGGCGATATGTAAAAATTTTCCAACCGACAATTGTCAGTCCAACGCGCATGCAGTACGCGCATGCACAGACTTTTTGATGGGTGGAGCAATGTAATCATGCACGGACTGATTTGATTTACAACACAGAAGTCCAAACATGGATGAACTAATTTCCCCCAAAAATTTGGGCTGTCAGCGTTAACGCGGTCATCACAATTACAATTTTTAACGCTTTTTTCGCTCAACCCATCTGGAGCGCAGAATGAACAAACTTTGGACAAACTGCCCGAAATGTGTTGACAGAGACATTTCAGGGATTTTGACTCAGTCTGCGCTCCAGACGGGTTAGCTGTTAATCGCGTTAGCTGACAGCACTAAAAAAATATATAAAGTTGCCCATTTGGGATGAAAGAGGTAAACCTAAGGATGTAACCAAAGCGGTGTACCGCTTGTGCAGACGTATAGTGCGAGCAAAGTACTCAAACACAACTAACTTGCATGAGCATGTACGTGTCCACCATCTGGCTGAGTATGCTAGGCTATCACCAGCTTCTGCAGCTCCATCAACAAGCATTTGGGCGCACTCTGAGGAGGGGGCATTTGCTCGCAGATGAAAGAGGGTGCTGTTAAAACAGTGCTATTATTATTTTTTCTGTTGACTTATTTTATTAGTTCTATCATTATTAGCAAACTTACTCATGGGCAAATAAATAAATAAGTCGTAAAAACGATTGCCGATGGGCTCAGCCTATCATCTATATATTTGTCCAGTCGTCCAACCCTAGCAGAGAGTAGATTTTCTCTACCTGTTTTCTATGGTGCTGAAGTGGCAGAGGAATCAGCTTCCACAGTTACTCACCCTCCAATGGTGTATCAACTACTCTACACCAGAAGTACACATTTATGGGACATGAGTTAATGGTGCAAGTGCTTGTTCACTGAACTTATTCTCGAGATCAAACTGAAACAGAGAGTGCAAACACAGTTCAAAGAGAACAGACATTCATCACAGCGCAGAGGGGAAATGAAACCACATACTAAACAGGGAAAAGAAGAAATAAAATGACAGACTGACAGGATGGAGATGAGGGGATGCTGATTATTGGCCGTGCCTGTAATGCACAGATTGGACTCATTTTGACAGCAGAGCTTTTAATTTTCTTCCCCCTCTCACTGCCAACTGAGATAATGGCAGGGTGACAGCATGGTATATTTGGTATTTTCCAGAGCATCTCAAAGGGACTTTTGAACACACTTTTTTTTATTAAATTATTAATTTCTGTGAGCGATGTGCTGCTTCTTTCTTAACTTTTGTCTTTCTAATCACGTCCGTGCAATCGCTTTAATTAACTAAAGTTTTTCTAAGTGCTTTTGATCTTGCGCTGTAAGCGCTTTCAGTGGGTTCTGACCAACCCTCATTCAGCCCTGCAGCAAAATGTAGCTACTCAATTTTAAAATGCTGCACCATCCATCTGTCTGTCTCTGTGTTAGCTGCGTAAGACTGGCTGGATACTGGTTTTCAAAAAAAAAAAGAAGAAATTGCACACCACCATAAACCAAAACAAACAGCAGCTTGAGAACACACAGCAAGTACACAAATAAGAGGAATACACTCACAGATGTGGAGGATCTGAGACACAGTCGAACAATGGGGACATCATTTCACCTCACAGTCCCCTGCAGCTGAATCCCAAAATATCATCAACCCCAAATCTATCAAAACAATGTGTCCTACAGGGGTACCTGCTTCTCAGTAGCTAAACCCCCGCTCAACTCGCCTCATTCTGTCTCTCCCTGTCTGATAGAAGCCGTCTATCTCTGCAGTACCATGGGGGCGAACTGGGATTCCTCTTAGTGACAAAAAAAAGAGGCTTTATCCCTTCTTAAATACATGCAGAAGGGTGGAGTGGAAGTGAGACACAATGCTGTAGTAAAGACATCTTATGTTTATTTGGAAAACTGCCAACACTCCCAGTTTTCCGATGCCAAAGCAAATATTTCACAGCAGATACGAGGGTCTGAGACAATGGCTCGCCATCTCTCCGGTCACGAACGGGCCAGCCTATCCTGTTAGATAAAGTTCACTACATGAAATGTGATCGGATAAAAGCAGATTTGTGAACTGTTAGGAACATGACAGACTCCAACAGATCCAGATGAAAATCCTGGGTGAAAATTTTTTAAATTCCTTCCAGTTCTGTTCTGAGTGTCCCGCTGAAAAATAAGAAATGCAATATCAGAGCTATAACACATTCAGAGCACTACAGTGACTGAGACCGCACCCAACATGGCAGCTGTAAAATTTATTGGGAAATAATAACACCAATTAAACTGGGCTGAAAACAAACATGCTTTACTTGCTGTAACCATTCTGGTTCAGAAGAGCAATTCTAAAATCCTTTTCAGTGTAAAAAACTAAATGTCACTTCTTTGCCTTTAGCAAAAATGCATCCCACAGTTTATCTGATGCTGATGTCAGGCTTTAGCATTTTGTGCTGGATCACAATGGTTTCTTTCAAGGTTACAACTTTTTTACAATTAAATTTTTTTTTACTATCCCTCCACTTTTGTAAATTATGAGAATAAAAGGACCTGATTTCAAGCAAAAGGGCTTGTGTCAAGGCTGACTTGTGACAGAAGGATAGCAGCAAGAATAAAAGAGAAGGTTTACTTTATGATAGTGAGACCTGCTACGATGTATGGTTTGGAGATGTTGATACTAACAAAAGGAGGCAGAGCTGGTGGTAGCATAGTTGTAGTTAAAACGTTTCATTAGGAGTGACCAGGAGAAACAAGATTAGTAATGAGTATATCAGAGGGACAGCTCAGGCTGAGCAGGTTTGGAAACAACATTAGAGAGGGAAGGCCGAGATGGTTTTGACGTGTGCAGAGGAGGGATAAGTACTGTACAAAAGATGTTGCGTATGGAGCTGCCAGGAACAAGGAAAAGAGGAAAACCACACAAAAGGTTCATGGATGTACTACATGAGAAGGGTTGGGGTGACAGAGGAAGTAGGAGGGGAGAGGGTGAAATGGAGGCAGACGATCTGCTGTGGCCACCCCTTAAGAAATCTATTTGAAAGAGTCCCTTTTTAGCCAGTGTATTGACTAAACAAGTGTAAGGTCCCTTGTCTATGCCCTGATATTATGGAGGTGGGTTTAATGTTGTGTAGGAGATATACAATGGGGGAAATAACGATTTGATCTCCTGCTGAATTTCTATGTTTGATCACTTACAAAGAAATGAACACATACATTGAAACAAGTTGATTAAAGTTATGATTTAGTTTGCATGTCACTGGGTGAAATAAGTATTTGATTCCGTACAACCAGATTTCTGGCTCCCACAGACAGTTTTTGTGCTCATGTGGCAGACAGATTATAGTCACTCAATCAATCAAGCAAGCAATTACAGATATTCCTGATCTCATCTGTTATGTGTATAAAGCACACCTGTCCATAGCATCATTTTCTTCCAATCCAACCTCTTCACCAACATGGGTAAAACCAAAGAACTGTCAAAGGACGTCAGGGACAAGATTGCAGACCTGCACAAGGCCGTAATGGGCTACAAGGCTATCATCAAGAAACTTGGTGAGAAGCTGACAGCTGCTGGTGCAATCAATCAAAAACAGGCCAAACAGAATTGTTGAGTATGACCCAAAGTACACAAACTCCACAATCAAGAACAGAGATGGAAAAATTATGCTTTGGGGCTGTTTTTCTGCTACAGGTGAATGGTTGGGTCTGTGCACTGTAAAATCTTGGATGGAAAACTTCCTTTCCTCAGCCACAACACTGAAAATGGGTCATGGATTGGTCTTTCAGGATGACAACGACCTGAAACATACCACCAAGGCAACAAAGGAGTGGCTAAAGAAGAAGAACATTAAGGCAAACCAACTCAAGTTTTACTCCTCTCTTCTTCTTACTCTATCCTAATGAGCAGAAAAAAAACCTACTTTGGAGCTCTGTACCACCCAACTCTGGCTTTGCAGTACTATTTTTTCTCACCTCGTTAACTCCAGCTATTTTAATCATCAGGCCGTTTTTGCTTTGCCACGAGCAAAATCAAAAATCTCAAAATACAACATTTCAGTCACATTGTGTCATAAAGCGTGAAATATGATAATGCAAATAAGAAAATGTTTTCTCAGGGGAAAATGGATTTTCCACGGAGTTCCGACTTTGGCATGATCCATCATTTTTGCATCTTGCCAAACTGAGATAAAGAAAGTGCTGGTCACTGGGTTCTAACTGCATCAGAGCTTTCTCGTATCTTGTATTTGTTGATATGGTATAAATTTTTGGTTTAAAGTGTTAATATTTAGGCATGTTAGAAGATTAAAAGATTTAAAAAAAGAAAAGGTGAAGGCAACAGCCTGCCATCTGTCATCTTAGTTTGGGACAAAAAGTGATGATGGATGGACAGCAGATGTGTAACTTTACTCCTTCATTCCTTAAGAATATTAGTTACAGCCTGGAAAAACACAAATACCAGCCCAGTGGCAGAAAGATTTAAATAATACAAGAAAGAAACAACATTAAGATCAGGATGATTGATGAGGTTATCAAAAAGCACAGAGAGTGAAATGATAAAGCTGGAATAAGAAGCCATACACTAGCTATACAGTTTGCATTTAAGTATAAAAGTGAGAAAAACACCATCAATTCTATAAAAGAAAAAATACAGAAATGAGCTTTTAGTGCCTCATTAGCCATCAGTCTTTATCAGGTCTGACTTCAGTAATGCTGCAGTCATTTATAAACCCGTCAAAAACAATGAACTATATAATGTACTATTGAGGAGTATGTGCAGTTGCAAAAACATGTAGTTTGAACAGTTAATGGAATTTATTTTTAAATGTCTATTTCAACAGCTTTAATCTTTCCTAACACCAGATGTGGCAAACATGTGAGGTCCACAGAGATGTGGATGATGGTAAGCAACTGCCAACCCATTGATGTGAACGGGCATGTCTGTACCACCTTCCTTTTTCCTGTAGTCCACTACAAGCTCTTTGGTCTTAACCCTTTAAGACCTACCATAGAACCAAGTCCGCCAGAGCTTATATTATATTTTTACATGCTGTGGAGCCATTTTTGGGAGCATTTCAAGTTGCTATACATCAATACAACCATTATAGCCCAGATTTTAATAATATGTATTCATTAAGTGCATAGTAATTACATAAATTGCAAAAAAGTGCAATAAACTCAAAAAAAATTGAAAATCGTTTTTGATTTTTTAACATATATTTGTAGTTAGAGAAATTTAAGAGGCTTATCCCTCAAAACTGTAAATACAAAAAAGTTGCACAAAATAGTTTCCCACCACAGGAAATTTATTTTGAGTGTCTTCATAGTTTTATTTTTGAAATACACCAATTTTTATACACTGCAGGAAAAACGAAAATAAATATTATACTGCAAATTTGCAAAAAAGCAGCATATGCATCAAAATAAAGTATTTCCAGCAGTGCAATATGAGTCCTAAGCATCCCAGAAACGACACAGAAAGTCATAAAGTCAAAGATAACTTTTAAAAAGAGCAGTATAGGCTCATGAGGCCCTGATGGTAAAAACGACATTTCCGCAAAATGACGTCACTTCCGGTTTCGGGCAGGTAATGGCGGAAATGCAAAAGTTCGCGCTGACGTCTATTCCAACGTAGGAAGTGTTATGGACAGCTGATCGGATCGGTAAAGCGTGTTTCTGGAATATTATGTTTTTGTTCCTGCAAGCGCTTTTTATGCAGTTTTTGCAAAGCTTTATGTGGAAGGAAACCGTGACCTAGGACAAGCTGATGGCATAAGATGTAAGTACAACTCCTCCGGTTTCATATGCAAAAATTTTTTTTGCGCTAGCTTACGTGGTTGCAGTGCTACTGGGATTTAAAAATAGTTACGCATAACAGAGCGTTCCCGCTCCGATCGGCTCTAAAGGGTTAAAAGTGTTAAGGAGCAGGTCCATGTCAGTGTACAACACAACCAGGTGCCCCACATCCCCCTATAGGCTGTTTCTTCATTGCAGATGATACCAGCACACTATGGTATCATCTGCAAACTTGAGGGAGCAGGAACAGAGGAAGGTGTTCAACAGACAGCCTTGGGGCAGAATGATGACCGAGAAAATGTTGTTGCCCAGTCTGACCTGCTGGGGTTTATTTGTCAGAAAGTCCAATATCTCTGGTCCCAAGGTTTTGAGTCTGCATTTGATTTTTAGTTTTGTTAGGGTTTAAGTTTCAATTTTTACTTACTCTTGAGCATCGCGAGCCTTAAGTTCTGTCTATACTTTATTTCTACTTTGTATTTGTTATTTAATTAATCCTCTTACCTTTTCCCTGTGTCTTCTTCCCAGTTTTCAGTTATTGTTACTCACTTCCTGTTTCATTTTTGTAGTCAGTTTCGTGTCATATCTTACATTTAGTTTTACTTCCTCTTTTTTTTCTCATTGTCATTGAATGTCTTCACCTGTGGGATTAACCTCGCCTGTGTCTTGTTCCTCCAGGTGTTTCCACTTCTTTGATTACCACGTGTGTATAAATAGTCCCATCCTTCCCCTCATCATGGTCCCGGTGTATGTTTGTTTGCCTTTGTTTCTCCCTGCATTTTCTTTAAGTTTTGAATTTAGAGATGACTGCCCTCTTGCACTTTTGTTCAACCTAAATCGTTTTACCAATTCCTGTCTGCTTTTGTGTCCTTATTCCACATCTCATGAAACAAAGAAAAAACTATGAAATTGGATTAATGCTGAAGCACCTGAAAATGAGGTTTTGTTTATGCATGTTGGATAATAACTGAGTAGTAAGTGTTTAGATGTAAGTGGAATTATATAATAATATATATATTCCTTCTCTCACCCCGCCTTGAGGCGACTTTTGTTGTGATTTGGCGCTATATAAATAAAATTGAATTGAATTGAATATAATCAGTTCAAACTCTTTTACAAAGCTCACAAAGCTTCTTTTTTATTTTCCAAAACTTTTTTTGCCATTTAAAACACCGGGTTAATTAGCGTTTGTCCTTTTTGTTATAACTGAGTTTGTTTCTGGATAGAAAACAAGAAGAAATAGCTTTGGATCTAGTGAAATGTGTTTTGGAACGACTTTCGCACATTTCACTTTAACTGTTGCCAAATGATTTATTCTTTCTGTGCTGCCAAACACAGAAGTTTGTTTTTTCAAAAGTTTTGCTGTCATCGGGTGTTTACTTTTATTTTTGCTCACAGTTTGTATAGATTTTTGCACAATACGCTCCACGGAGTTGGGGAATGGTAAAGTTAGAGTTCAAATTTAATTTCAATCACAAATTTTTCAATCACATTTTTTGGTAAAATTTAACCCGTCTACTGAGATGTATTCAGTAATACAGACCTAGTGACCACTACATACTGTATTAGCATTGGTCTTTCCAATCTCAACCTATATGAATGTCTAATCAGCCTGAATGATATGAAAATACCTGTGTTTATGGATCATAAAAGTGGATCTGCTGGTGGTTGTACATGAAATTGTTCCTTGCTTTTAAAGATAAGAAGCAAAAAAAAAAGGGTCCAAGATATCATGTTAAATAAAACCTCCAGCAGACACAAAGATTGAAAACAAGAAACATTCTGACCCACAGCTTGCAGGCTCTGTCAGCTCACACCGTCAGTCCAATCTTATTGTCTTCGGTCTGTCTCCTTCTGTGCCTGCTGCTTTCCCCTCTCTCTGATCTTTTTTTTCATTTTTTCCCTTCTCATATCGTCTTTTGTACTTTAAAGCCCAGCTTGTTTCCTCTTCTACCACATACAAGCAGTTAAATCATTCACATCTATTTAATTCTATAAGTAGTGTTTGGAGCCGAGTATTTTGTTAAAAGTTGAAATTATTGAAATTTTAGTTGGTTTCAGGAAGATATTTTTTCATGAAATGGTCAGATGAACAATTGCACCATGTAAGTTATTGAATAGTTTGCTGCCTGTGTTATTCCTGTGCATGTCTTCTGTATTGATGTAAATACATGGACATGTTTGCTTCTTAATCACTCATCTATTGGGTTGGAGCCCATTCCCGCTGTTCTTTTTGTGCGAAAGGAAGGGTAGACTCCACACAGGTCACCTGTCTATTACAAGGCAGACACCAGACCATGTTATTAAAATAAATCCACCGTTTCATTCATACTATGATGACTTTAGAACTACTGAAAGCCTAACATGTATATCTTTGTTCGGTGAGGAAAAAGCTGGAATACCCAGAACCTATACAAACACATGGGGAACATACAAAGCAAGCAAAGGCCCCATGTGGTGGCTGACAGATTCAAAGCCAGGGCCCTCCTGATGTGAGGTGACAGTGCAAACTGCTGCACCACCGTGCAGCCATGTATACTTCTCCTCTTTCTAAAAATAGCAGCTTTCAAGTTAAACTTTTCTTAAGCTGCTGGATTGTTTATAATGATTTCGGTTGGAATTAAAAAAATTGGGCATACAATCAGCGCTATTGTTTAGGTATGTCACTGTGTAGCAATAAGCACACGGTGCACCTGTAGCACAGAGAAGTCCAAATGAATTGTGTTCAGGCTGGCTTAGCTTCTAGCCAATTGATCTTCCTGTCACAGGTACATGATGAGAATGGGAACATGGATCAGTGCCTTCTTAACACCAGTGTGTGGGACGACTGGCAGAAGTCCAAACATAACTCTGACTTATTAAAAATTTTGGAAAGTTCTAAAGTCTCCTTGAAATATTTAACTAATTGGTGTAAACAGCAATAATACACATGTGGGGAGGAGCTCGTAACAGGCTAGACAAGGTGCCCTAGTCTCAGCTTAATCCTTGCTTGAGGTTTCGCAGAGGTCAGACACTCTGATAGTCAATAACATAAAATTATTCCATGGTCCCTAAGCAGATCCTGTGTGAATTCCATGTAATGGATATGAAGAGCCAAGGCATTGATTCCAAGGGCAGCTTTTATTCTGCTATAAAACCAAAGAATGAAACACAGATAGCCAGCGTGAGAGAAGAAGGAGGGAGTATTCCCTGAGCAAAGCAATGATATCAAATGAAATCTGCCTCCCACTCCTCTCCTTAAACCCCCATCCACCCACCCCTCCACTTTTTCCTACAAGAAGAGGATTCCCAAGGTCACTTTCATTCTCTTTTACTCTCTCTCTCTCTCTCACACACACACACACACACACACACACACACACACACACACACACACAATCAAATACATACACATAAAGAGACGAATTGATACCATTTCCGCTCTGGCATTCCTGCTTAATTATTCACTGCCGCGGTCATGTGACTGCAACATTCACATACGAGCATTTAAAGATGCCCGTAAGGATGCATTTCATGCATCAGTCATGTTGGGTGGCATGGATGAAATCATTATAATATATTATTAAAAGGGCATTAGGATATATTTCTAAATCAATATACACTGTGATGAGCAGGGTGAAACAAGCACTGCTGTCAGTTTACCGACCCCTTGGCTGCAGGCTCATTGAGCCTTTTGTTAATTGTTGGGTATTCTTCTAAATCTGTAGGTATCCAACAGATTTGATTTTACATTTTAAAAACACATTCATGCTCCTGGTTAGGACTGGGCAATATATCGAGTTTTTAAATATATCGATATATTTTTATACAAGATATGAGATGTGACAATATCGTTTATATCGATATAGTCTATGTTACGTTATAACTATACTTGTGGAGCCGCAAGTTTGCCTCTCTTTCGTCCACTTTTGTCTCTACGCTGCATTACTCGGCCTTGCCTCTCTCCTTCACTGAACACAACTCCCCCTCTGCCATCGCTTCACCTGCAGGCAACGACAAGATGGACACGGCTATCAAAGAGGAGCTGGTCGGTAAAAAGAAATCATTTGGAGATTACTATTTTAGTGTTGCAGCGTGACGTTAATGCCATAACTGCATTAACGGGGCAAATCTCTGTTAACGAGTTACCGCGCATCACCCCGTACGTGGGGCTGGACGGCGTCAACGCGTTAACGAGCTAACCGGGCTAACAGTGCGCCTTATGTATGAATTCTGGTTGTGCTTACTGACTGATTTGATGTGGTACACAGCGCTCAGAAACCTTTCAAAAAATGTTTTGGTACGACTTTGGTA